TTTTTTTTTTTTAAAGTCCGTTGATCTTGCCTTGTTCTAGGTTTTAATATTTATGCTAGTGCCGTTTTTTAACTATCGTTTCGGTTCGATAATTTTCAAGTGTTGTTTTTATTTAGATTAATAGGTTTTCCTTTTATTTTCGCCCCCCCCCCATGAAATATATTGCGTTATTTAATCATTGGTTTTGTTTATTAGTTGATTTAGGAATCGTAATTATTTTTTAAACTTGTTTTTCTTGTCTAAACTTGCAAATTTTTTTATTCTTTTAAATTTTATTTTTCTACAATTTTTTTCCTTTTTAGATTTAGGAGTGCTTTTCTTTTTTCTCTTACTTTAAAATGTGTTTACATTTTTTCCTTGTAATTTGGGTTTGATAAAACATCGATTAACGACACTTTTTTGTCGATCCAGGAAACCGGGAAATTAAGACATCCGGGATAGCGATGGTCCCGAGCATCCCGGATAATTGGTTCTTTATTGTACAGACATTAGTATTGAATTGGTTTTTTAAAATAAAATACTTATTCAATTTGTTTATTTTTTAAAAGTTTTTGTGTATTTTTATTACAGTGTCGGGTTTTTGAATAATGTTTTATTAAGGAAATGGTATTTATTTAAAGAGTATCTACCTAATATAGTTTTGTGTTGCTAAATCTGTGTTTAATTATTTTATTTCCATTTAATATTTTTAAACAATTATTGCTCTATTAGTGTGTAAAATTTCTTGCATTCTTATATTTAATAAATTTTTTACTTAAAATTCCTTAGAAGTGTCAAATATTGCATACCGTGTGCCTTTTTTTATCCCTCCTGAATTCTTGTTAAGGAAACTCCTGAATGTTAATTTTGCTAGGTTGGCACGTCTGGGTGTGTTTGTTAGATGCCTTATATGCATGTGTTTCAACTTCAGAATTATAGTTTCGCTGAAGTATTATTATATTAATGTGAAAGCTTTTTACACATTTGTAACTTTTTTTAAACAAAAAATCTATTGTACTGAATATTTTTAAGTATTTACAACTTTTGGTTATAATTTCAGGATTCTGAAACAGAAATTGAATCAGAAGCAGAGGAAGAAGAAGAAAATGAGCGAGAGAAGCAAATAGCTGTATTAAAAAAGGAAAATGAATCAATGCGGCAAGAAATACAGGAATTTGAAAAACACAACAAAGCAATGAGCCGAGTTATTTTAGAACTTGAAAAGCACAACAAAGCCATGAGTTTTAGACTTCAAGAACTAGACAAAGACAATAAAGTTATGAGCAAAAAATGTCAAGATCTTGAAAAACAAAATGAAGATTTAAGAGCTAAGTTGAATTGTTGTTTTTCTGAAGAACAATATGCTAGAATGGAAAAACTAATGGCTCTGGGCACAATTGAGAGGTACATACCAGCAATTAAGTAATTGTATTTACTGATTATTGTTGTAAAGTATGTTGAGTTTTCTCTTTTATTTAGAATTGGTTTTTTGAATTTGTGTAATGAACAAAGAATGATATCATGTTAAATTATTTTTACTCTGAAGTTTCAATGGTTTGACCTCTTATATCCTAAATAATTTATTCTTACTATTAATTTAGTAACACCATTAGAGGCAAAATCCTACACTCTCAGAATAAACATCCTTTTTTTTCTTTTTAGTTTTTTCCAATACACGTGGATTCTTGGTAGCCAAAATATACGCAAATTGGAATACCCACATTCCGATAGTTAAGCCAAGAAATCAGTTATAAGTATAACCCTCTTAATATTATTTGCGTATTTAACCATATGTATTTTAGATATTCAAAAACTTTTTGCACATAATTATGAAGCTCTCATCAAAAAAAAAGTTTCATGCAAAAAATGATTTGATGTTTTTAATAATGGTTAAGAAAGTTTTGATTTGTAAGGTATGCAAATATTTACATTTTAAAATATGTAATTTTAAATTACGAAATTTGAACATGGTCGATCCAATAATTCTTGTGAAATGAAATATTAAAAGTTTGCCTTTTTTTAAACTCTCCGAGTTTCTCAAATCTCCAACTTTTTTTTAAAACTTTTTGGAAACTCAAAAGCTATTCAATTTAGATAGATATTGTTTTCAGATAGATATTTTTTTGTTGTTCTTGTTGCCAATTAATTTAAATTAAGAAAATAATTAACTAAAATTATATGCAATAGTTTTCCCTTTTTATTGTTTACATTTTCCTAAAATTGCAAGATTTCTTATAACAGTAATTAAAAACATACAAATATGGCAATATAATATCTTATCTGTTGCATAATTGAAACAAACTACAATAACGTTGTGACTATCATAATATAATGTAAAACCCATTATTAAAGCGTTAAGTATTCTAGAGGTGCTTACAATGTTTTGTATTTAAATTTGCAAGATAAAACAAATCTTGAAATAAAACTGTTTACTTAAAAACTTCTGAATGTAATGATCATATTGACTAACTTTCTAGCCATTCTGACCCCAAAATAGGGTCATTAAAGGTTCAAAATATGGAAATTGAGATGTCCTTAAAAAGAAAATGTTAGCATTAATAATTATTCTCTTAGCTTATTTATATTTTAACATTTTTTTGTACAGCATTGAGGTAGGTTCCTTAAACTAGGGAGTTCACATTTGAGGCTTGAATTTAATGTTTGGAAAAAGTTAATAAGTTATAGGTTGTTTAAAAAGGCAATTTTTAACATAATTTTTTAGCCTATTTTTACTTTTCAGCAAAGAAAAAAGTTAGTGAACTGAAAAAGATCTTACTTTAATTAAAGACATATTTCGATCGAGTAACAGTCTGAAGCAGTTAAATACTATTAAATAAATCCACACAAAAAAAGGATGGATTTTTTTTTGTAATTTGCATGAAGTTTTTCTTGTCTATCAATGCCTTTATTTATTGTCTGTATATATTAACAGTATGCTGCTACAAATGAATGCTGCTTCCATGTAGTATAGTTAGGGGCTTGTTTAGTAAAGATTTGGATCCATTAACAAACCCTGTGTAAAGATAATAAATTATTTTAATGTTGTTAAATTTTTAGTTATTCAGTCAAAGTTTTTATTTTTTATTAATACTTATAATTTTTATGTATATATAGTAGGATAGGTCATATTAATCAGGACTGGTTTTATTCCTGATAATTTTTTTTTTTTTTTTTTTTTTTTTAAGAAAACAATATGGAAAAAAAAAGGTATCTGAAATGAAATTTGCTTTCAAAATATTAATTTTAAAACTGCAAGTACAATGTTTTCATTTGCATATTGTCCAATATCTTGGACATGCTGTAGTTCCCAATTATTCATTCATAAATCATGGTAGTTTTATTGTATACACCCCGCAGTGTATTCCAGATTTCTATTTTTAGTCACTTCTTTTGAATTTTCTTACTAAATCTTTATTTCTCATCAAATATTCCAGTGGTAACCTCCTCCCCTCACTAAAAAAGATTGTTTATTATAGAAATCTTATTACCTAAATATGTAACATACATTTCTATAACCAACATGTCTACTAGTTACAAAAAATTTCATAAAAATTCTACGATATTTGAAGATTTTTTTACCTAATAAATTTTTAGGATATAATCTCATTAATTGTTAAACAGCAATGAGTTTTTTAAAAAAAAGTGGTATATAAGAGATTTTTTTTTCTGAGATAAGAGCTAAGTCATCCATTATGTTCCTTTTCCTTTCATGCATTGTCAACATTCATTTTAATATTTTTGACTGTTTTGTTTCTTTCTGTTAGTTATGTGCAAAAATTCCTAGCTGGCTTTTAAATGAGCACTCAGTTTGCATTGAATGTGTACATATCTATGAGTAAAAATGCTAATTTAAGCTTTAGTATTAGAATTTTTTAAAAAAAAAAGTGAAGAATTGCTTTTTACTTTTTTTCAATTCTGATTATTGTAACAAAAAGAAAATATCTGCATCTTTAAGGTCATTTTGTACTTAATAAAATACTAAAAATTTTATTTTACTTAAATTGAATGAATTAAATTCTCTACGTTAAGATAATCGAATCATTGTTCTTCCATTAATTGATTAAAAAATGCTCAGGGGTGCAGGGTATGTCTGATCGTGGGAATGATTTTTGACTATAATTCACACAGCCATGGGGAAATATTTGGTCGAACTAATAAATATTACTACATTGTAAAAAAATTTTGCTTTAGAAAATTTTTCCCTGCAAAAATAATAAATAAATTATACGCCACTTTGATTATCTATTTTGATTTTTCTTAAAGTGAAGAGCTCTAAGTTTAGTTTTTTTAAATCATTACTTTTTCTATGTACTTCGATTTCTATTATTTTTAAAACATATTCTAGTATATTTAAGAATTGTGTAAAATTAAATGATTTTTTTTTTCTGTGTTAAGGAAAAGTTATTGTAACTAAAGAAAGTGATTTCATTTTGGGGGAAATTTCAAATCCCCCCCCCCCCCGAAAAAAAACCCCAACTTAATGAGAAATATTTCCCGCATTTGCATTACACGGAGAGGAAAACCGTGAGAACCTCCCACGATTAGCCTAACGGTAAGGAAACTCTAACCCATGATCTATCTACCGCTGAGGATACTTCAAGTTAGCACTGTAGTTGGTGCAGGCCGGATGCGGAATTCGTATCTACTAGGATTCGAACCCAGTTTGCGTCAATGAAACGCGAAAGCTCTATCTCCTTAGCCATCACGGCTCTCATGCGAAATATTAGGCTTTGAAAATTGTATGCACCCCTGGTTCATTGTATTGTAATATGAGTATTGTAATTTTGTATAAATCATTGCTATAGGTAAGGCTCACCCACCATTGATCTATTCAAGAATCAGGTATATGTGTATCAATCACACTTGTATTAATCAATTTTGTATCATGTCATTTGGGCAAATGTGTATAAAGATTTCTCCTGTTGTGTTCATATTTTTTTAATAAATAGGAAAAACCAGTTTGCTATAAAGCAACCATGATCTGAATTTGAAATCTCACTCTTAACCCACTGGCGGTTAAGGAAATGNGGACCCACGTTGAAAGAATGTGAGTAATTTTTTCACAATTTCACGAAAAACGGACCTTTCACAAAATGTCTGGACAGACCCCTGAAGATACATGTTATAAGCTAAATAAATATATATCTATGCGTGTAGATATAGTATGACATTTTTTTTTCCACAAGTAGGGCAACAAATTATTGTTCTATTACAGGGTTACCACAAGCAACTATTTTTGACCCGAGGCAACTATGGCAACTTTTTTTGCATGAAAAGTCTAAAAAAGCAACTATTTTCAGGAAAAGGAGACTTTTCTGTGCTCCTAGCAATTTTTTTTAAGTATAAATTGGGTTGACAACCTGTGGCATATGGTAGCTTCTGAACATAATGAAATTTTTTTTTTTAAAGAATAAAAAAAAAATTTGAATTGCAAAATTGAGTCATCACTTTTTAATGCACTCAATTTTTCACAGATTCCATTGTACATCTATTTTGTTTCACAATATATATTTGCTAAATCAGTTATTGAATTTTTTTTTATGTACTAATTTTTTTGATATAAGAATTTAGTGCTAGAACGCTAATGTTTATATAAAAATTATCATATTTGCCACCAATTAGACTAAATGGATCATGGTATATGACAATTAAGACATTAATTAAATTTTAGTCTTATTTTTTTTCTTATTTAGGCATTTATTTTCATAGTTTTCGGCAACTATTTTCATGATTTAGGCTACTAAAAGCAACTGTGTTGTTCATTTTTTTCCATGGCAGCCCTCTATTATTAATTCTTAATAAGAAGTTCTGATCTAAATATTAGCCATTACAATTCATGCCAGTTGTTTTCATACCTCTTTTTATATAAAAATAAATGAATTTTTATTTAATTTATGTTTATGGTAATGCTTAATAAATATTTGAATTTTTTAAAAAAAATCTTTTTTTTTTTTTAATTTTTTTTTTTTTTTACTCTCTGCCTTAAAATAGGATTAAGGCTCAAATTTATATTGTCAATTGAGAAATGCAAACAATATTTGAAAAGAGTCATTGCAGGATATCTTTTCAGATAATTTTTTAATATTTTACTTAATTTCTGTGCATTAGTTCAAGAGTGTGAAATTTAGTATAAACTAGTATATTTGCTTAATTGCTTTTGTTGTGCTCTTTTTTATATTTGCATTACTAGTATGAAATTTTTTTCTTGTTGAGATCCCTTGGTTGGTAATTGAAGTTGAAAAAATGTTTAGATCTTTTTAAGGTTCTATGCAAAATCACGTAACTGTCTAGCATGTATTTAATGTTTGAAAGAAAGTTATGTTGCTTGACTGTATATCTATTTCTAATGTATATAATTCTAACAGGCTTTATTATAAATTATATTTATCGCTTCATTTTCATAACAAATGCTGGCATTTGTTTCTGAAAAAAAATTCAGTGTATTATTTATAAAAGCTTATAATAAATTTTGTTTTCATAAGTTAATGTCTTTTATGTCCTATTAACTTCAAACATTTATAAACCTCAAGAACTATTGTCAAGTATACTAGCAATAGTTTAAGAATATTTTTCAAAAATGTAGTCAAAAAAGCATTCACAGTATGAGTCGCAAAGTAATATCTTTACCTCACTTAAAAGTGAGGTAAAAAGAAAACATATTTGATATCTGTTAAATCATTTGTCGGGAGAACGAGATTCAAATAATTCAAAACTGTTTTTGGCTTATTTGCCTGATGTAACATTAGTCGCACCCCCGGCAAGAAAAGTGGCACAAGTCAAAAAAACAGCAATTTTGAGGTTGTCAATAAAAAATGTGTATGAAGTGCATTAAGCTCAAAAGGTGTCAACTCTCTAACTCGCAATTTATCCAGCTGAGTAAATTATCTTTCAATGTCTCTCTATTTCCTTCGGCAATCAAACAGGTTTCATACTTCTAGTATTCTAGTGATTTGTTAGATTTCGATAGCATTTTTGATTCACACTTAAAGGATGTAACCTTTTGACTGGGCTAAAGAGTCATCAGAAGGGTTAGGTCACTAAATTGAAGAGACTCGTGCAACTGCGAGCTTCTGATTTCAGTCGGTGAGGTAACGGCAGTGCAGCATCAACTTCTAGCTTTAAAAATAAATTGTTTCCCATGTAACTAGCATTCTTTTTTAAAATAATACATTCATTGTTTTCCATATTTTTTTTTTATTTTGAGGCGATTTCTTCCTCATCTGATTGCAAAAATTTAACAGTAGTTGTCAAATATCAGATAGCAACCGGCGAGAATTATAAAGCACAAAATGAGAAAACATAATTTTCCATGTTTTACTTCAGAATATATAAAAGGTGACATTAAATTAAAAATAAAATGTTATGGAAGAATTTCTGTGAATAAAAGAGACGGGTAAGAACTTTCATTAGCCATTGAAATTGATACTGTCTCCTAACTTTAAACAGAAATGGGGGGGGGGGAGGTTTTACAAGGTCAAAAAAATCCTGAATCAAAAATAATTGTTATCAATGCTTAAAAAATTCTTCCAATTTCATGTCATTATTCAAAATATTTAGGCTCAAGTGTTATATTTACATTATTACATGCTCAAGGATTATTTTTTTTTAGTAATTGGCATTTAAGGTTCTTGTTTCTTAGTGATAGTGTATTAAAAAAATTTATATTATATATATATATACTAAAATAGACATCCCAATTAAATGGAACCAAATTATCGAACAATATGTAACTATAAAAGTGCCTCTATATACTTTCTTTTATTTAACAGCAAAAGTTAAAATCTATAATTAGAAAAACTATAATGAACAACCAGGGCTCGAAAAAAATCAGAAATTTTACCAGTCCCCGAAGACGGCTTGTCCAACAATGTACCCGTTCTCCTTTGAAATTAACCCGTAGCTTCTAAATGAATAAAAATATAATTTTCCCTTATTTATTACAAACATTTATATAAATTGCACAATTAGTAGTTACTATGATTACATTATACAGTAATAAAAGAAATGCTAGGTTACTAATAGTAACCTAGTATTTCTTTTATGAAATAATTTAAATGACAAAGGTCTAGTTATCCGAGGGTATTGCCTTTTTTTTAATTAATATTTTCTTTTTTGCTACGTTGAGCAATGTCTTCTAAATGAAGTAAAGTGGCTTCGAAGTTCAAAACCAAGGATTTTAATGCTCTAGCTTGACTAGCAACCCATCTAATATTTTGTAGTCCTCCGTATTTCAGCCGCCTTAGCTAGTTCCCTTTGACGTTTTGGGGACCAGTGGTAAAAGCTGAATATCTGTTTAATTGTGCTCTCAAATATAACCATATAGGATTCATTTTTCTTTGTGTCGAGCACCCATAGCTTGAAAATCAGGGTGGCCACCCACCTGGAAACCTGGAATTATCAGGGAATTTTTTTATACTGGAAATATCAGGGAAATTTGGATAAAAACCTGGAAAAATCAGGGAATTTTAAAGAAAAGATGGAAATTTTTTCTTTGATAATAATATTAATTTCACTTTTTTAAATTATTTACTAATTTTCTTAATTTAAATTATTTCATCCATTATACCCACTTTTTTTTAACGGAAATGTATCGCCAAACAGTTGAAATATCATCAACTTAGCAATACTTTGCTTGCATCAAAATTTGCTCCATTACAGCTGTTAAACTAGAATGCCACATAAAATTCTCCTACTGTTGCTAAACGAATGCAGAAACCTTTGACCGCTATGGGACTGTGCAATTTAGGAAAGATTCTGGTGTAGGTGGAAAAAGATTTAGGATATTAGCTTCTATTTTTAAATACTGTCTTTGGGCTGAATCCATTTATGGCTCAAGTTTGTTCCGATGCTTTGGTGGTAATTTTTTTTTCTATTTTGACAAAATGTTTTTGTATTTTTAACTTTATAAAATTCTCCAAAAATTAGTTGGTTATAATTTGATAATAGATTTTATATTGCACTCTTTTTCTGAAATTTTTTCTACTCCCATTCAAGGAAATCTGTGAATTATTTTTTCTCAGCAAGCCAACCAATCACACATTTTTTTACCATCGCTGACAGCAATGTTTGTCGATAAATCGTTACAATTGTTGCATTAATGCTAATTTTTTTCTATTTCATTTTAACCTTTTATAACATATTTTTAAAAAATGTTTTTTTTAAGAACCAACTATATATTAATATTTAATTTTACTCTTTTGTTGCTCAATATTTTGTACCAAAACATTTGAAAAATATATAAAAAATCTGGCCAAATTGTCAAAAGAACATTTTGAATAAAATATTTTATAATATAGACACTTTTTTTGTACACATCCTACACTTAATGAGAAAAAAGAAACGAAAACCTGGAAATTTTAAGATTTTTATCTGGAAAAATCAGGGAAATTTGAAATCTGATTTGAGTGGCCACCCTGAAAATGTATCACGAACATTAACGAGAAAATGGCCGTCCGCTCGGACGTCGGATTTGAGAAATTCGTTGTCCGCGGGGAATTTTTGATCGCCGAGGACGGGCGGTTTTTCGAGCTCTGTGAACAACCATTGATAAAATTTTTCTAACTTAAAAATGTTATTTTTTAATTGTATAAGGGAATACCAAGAAAATGTATGAATACTATATTTTTAAACAGAAATAATTTGTTAGCAGTGTAAAGTTTGACAGCTATTATCAGAAAAGTGTCGAACATTCAACTTATTTCTTATACTAACAGCTAAGTTTTCATATCCTTCAGCTGTGATTTTCTAGATCTGTGTGTGGTGTGACGTCATGAGGTGGAAATCGTAGCTTCAGCTTTTGAGTAAGGAATGAACCAGCTCTTCTCTTAAGCCCTGACCCCTTTGAAGAATATTTGATTTTTCCTTAAAACACTGCAAAATGTATCAGAATTGTGTGTAAAATGAATCGGAGACTGCAGAATTATGTTAATTACACGACTAATTCTCTAAACTTCTACATCCTGTCCTCAAGACAAGCAATTTATCACAAAATTCTCCAGATCTTTTTCAATGAAACTCCAATTTTTCCTTACAAGAATTTTTTATAAAATTTTGTCTCTCCAAACCGGACCAAAATTGAGGTATTTTTCTTCGAGCAAGGGTATAGGTATACCCTTGAAACAAGGGTAGTGTATACCCTTGTTTCAAGGAGCTAATACTTGTGTGGCAAACCTTTTTTAAAATTTCTAATTTTAGTTAATTTTGTTATTGTAATTGATAAATTATTTATGCTCCTTTAAAAAACTCTATATTTGATTAAGCAAGCTTCCTTTTTATAGATAACAAACTAGTGGGGGGGAAAGTGTTAATGTTGAAACTTATAACAATTACCGTTTAAATTTGGAAGATCAGAATATTACACATGTATTCTGACCTTCCAGAGCTAAGATTTACTGTATCTAATTTAAAAAATATGGAATGTAGAGACAAAAAGTTTCTAGGAAATTTAGCATGGAAACTTACATGAATTCAAAACATGACTTTAAAAAATTAAGAAACAAAAGAAAAAACACTTAGCCAAATAGTATCTTCTGTGAGAAAGCAATCACAGTTATATTTGGAAAATTCTCGTGGTAACAATAAAAAGATTGGCTCTAGTAAGGAGTGCGTCCACTCCTATCTGCAATATATTAAATCATCCACTTCCATACTACAAATTAAGTACTTAGAATGAGGAGAGGAGACAAGACAGTGAGAACTCAAAGCAGCAATTATCTGTCAAAGTAGTCTTTAAAAAAATTGCTATCGTAATCAGGTCTGGAGATCTGGATGGCCTATCCATCTGGCAAATATCTTCAAATTCTCAAAGTATTCAACATGAGGAGGTCTATGTGACCGCGCACTGTCGTTCATTAAAAGAGAGTTAGAGCCAACTGAATCCCTAAGAAAGCAAGCATACGACTCCAAAGACGCGTCTATTTGTTCATAACAGTTGCGATTCATAATAGACATGAGAGATTATACTAATCTCCAACATGATGCTTTCCTAGACCATCAAACTTCCTTGTCCATAATGGTCGATCTCTCGGACAGTGGAAGGAATGTAAGTGATCCTTGGCTTTATCCATGTCAGAGTATCAACCGGAGACACGCCAATGTCCGAGAAATCAGACGTTACAGAGAAGACAATTTGAGGGTCCAAAGAAGATATTGGATGAGTAATCTTATATGAGTTCAGGCTCGCTTAAACAGGTTCGAGCCCGAGACACATAGGATTACATTGAGTACTAGTCCGCTCGAGGTATACGTCCAAATTTTAAGATCCCACCACTGAGCTTTTGATGCCACTACAAGTAAATTAGTCATTAAAAGCTTTTTATCGCCAGCAATTAAATTTTTTATACTTCATAACTATACCATACTTTGGTTTAAAGGTAATAAAAAAGTTTATGAAAATTGTATCGAGTCTGAACTAAAAATTAAGTCCGAGCCCGCTTGAAACCTTTTTTCAGTCGACGAGCCCTCGTTGGTCTCGGGCTAAGCCCGTCTCGTCTTTAATGAGGCAAGAAAAATTATTTACCAGGCAAGCAAAAACAATTAACCATGCAAGAAAATTTTTTTTTTATTTCTTGCAATAATAAATTTTTTATTTAGTATCTCAGGTTTTCTGTGATTCTATGTATGCCTTAAACAATATTTAGTCCTTCAATTTTTTTTTAAGATCAGTAAAATATTGTTCATTATAGAGGATGGATTATTGGAAGAGCTTTATGCTTCTGCTAGATCTACTCAAAAAATTGATCATTATAATTTATTTAGAACCAAGGATTTACTATTAAGGTATTTACTGGATTGTATTCTTTTTTGTTCCTTGCACCCCCTTCCTTCCCTGCGAGACTCTCCCTACAAAGAGTTTAGTGTTTTGACGTAAGACTTGGGGGACTCGTAGAATTTTCTATTGCGCCAAAAAAAAGGAACATGATTAATAAAATTTTCTATGCTTATTAGCTATATTTATAGTCCATGAAATTTAGTAAAGTTCGGAGGTATCTCTCAGTAAAATTTTGCAGTTGGCCTAACTTCGCATCACGTAAGAAAACTGTTATAATTCCAAGTGATAAATATTAAAATATGAAATAATATTAAATTTAGATCATGGTTATATTCAATTTTTTAATCACTAAAGGAAATCAGCAAAATGTACTAAAATAAAAATAAAATCGCCCGGAAATTAAATGTTATATAAATTTTGATGTGTATAATTAAAGTAGTGTTACACTCCTAAAATAAACCTCAAGCCAGTTATGTTTTCTTTGACGTAACAAATGTTAAAGTATAATCAGTGCAAATCGCACATTATTCCAACCACATGTGTTTTTTCTAAGCTCTGTCAAAAAAAGCAAAGACATTTCTAATGACGTTGCCCACTTCAAGCTGTTCTTCGTGTGACAGATTTTCAAAATTGTTTGAGGTAGTATAAAAAAACATAATGTTTTTAACAATCTGGTTCCAGTACTTTCATTTTATGGGTATTTATGCCAAGGTAAGATGTATTTTTTTTTAAATTTTAATTACGATAGTATCGTTTTAAATAATTAGTTCTAAAATTTCATTTTCAGCTGTCTCAGTACTAATTGAAATATCTCAAACATTTCTTTAAGGAAAAAAAAGAAAAGAAAACTTTTTGTTTCTTTGCATATGAAAAGTTACTTCGAAGTGCACAACCTGCGGCTTGACTGGTCAAATTGCAGCTCTGGTTTTCCGAAAATAAATTATTGGAAGAAAAAAAAAATACACAATTGACAAAAAAAATTTTTTTTTTAATATTTTCAAACTAATTTCAATAAGTTTTTAAAAATAATTAGTTGTAATAGTAGTATTTTATTTACGTCATCATAGAGCTGCACTATGGGCTATTGGCGACGGTTTGGAAAAAATCCCTCATGATGATCCGTAGACATGCCATAACAATTTTAATTCTCCACTTATGTAGCCCGACGACCTGCGCGCACAATTGTGCACTTCACATTATCAATGCTTAACGAGGACTGATATCAAACAATCTCTGTCCCTTTGCCAGCTGATCAAAGTGGTCACCCTCCCGCTCTCTGACCGTTGTAATTATCCGTGTCTAACTATCTGCCCACATCTGAATTATACAAAGTTAGAAGATTAAAATTTCAAAATGCTAAATCAATGCGTCAAAAGATTAAAATCGTTCGGCAATTTGATTTTTCATTTATTTATTTTTTATTAAAATGATGATTAAAACAAATTTGATTGAAGGATTTATTTAAAAATTAAATATGTAAGCAATGCAATTTATTCAGTAAAAAAAGAGAAAGTTAAAACCCTGCTATTATTTAATTTTGTTAAAGAAGACAAAATGTGCAATGCTTGTAATGTTGCTTAATTCAAAAATATTATGTACATCTATATGTACTTTTGTCTATTGATATTCTTGTTTTAATAAGTAATAATCACGTTATTATATATATAAAAAAAATAATTATGAAAATAAAAGCTGCAAGGAAAAGATCTTTCATGTTCGGATAGATTTAACTATTTAATAGGATTTACTAGTTAGCTCGATGCTTAAACATTCAGAGATTTGGAATATTTAATAATTTAAGACTGAAATTAATTTTGCTTGACGCCATTTTATTGCAATAAATTTTATAATTTTTATTTTCGAAATAATTTTATACGGTCAGTATGGAATAAACTGTATTTCTCCAAAATTCTTCTATATATTGAGTAGATAGAGCTTTCGCCTTCCAATAACATGACCCAACAGCCGCTGATTGATACGAGTTCTGTTACGGCTCACACCGACCACAGTGCCAACGTAAAATATCATCAGTGATAGACGGGTTAGANTCGGCATCTTGATTTTTCATTTATTTATTTTTTATTAAAATGATGATTAAAACAAATTTGATTGAAGGATTTATTTAAAAATTAAATATGTAAGCAATGCAATTTATTCAGTAAAAAAAGAGAAAGTTAAAACCCTGCTATTATTTAATTTTGTTAAAGAAGACAAAATGTGCAATGCTTGTAATGTTGCTTAATTCAAAAATATTATGTACATCTATATGTACTTTTGTCTATTGATATTCTTGTTTTAATAAGTAATAATCACGTTATTATATATATAAAAAAAAGAATTATGTAAGTAAAAGCTGCAAGGAAAAGATCTTTCATGTTCGGATAGATTTAACTATTTAATAGGATTTGCTAGTTTGCTCGGTGCTTAAGCATTCAGAGATTTGGAATATTTAACAATTTAAGACTGAAATTAATTGTGCTTGACGCCATTTTATTGCAATAAATTTTTAAATAAATTGCAATAAATTTTATGATTTTTATTTTCGAAATAATTTTATAAGCTAAGAGAACGGCCAGTATGGAATACACTATTTCTGCAAAATTCTTCTATGTATTGTAGATAGAGCTTTCGCCTTCCACTAAGATGGCCCAGCGGCCGCTGATTGATACGAATTCTGTTTCGGCTCACACTGACCACAGTGCTGACGTAAAATATCCTCAGTGGTAGACGGATCATGGGTTAGAATCCTCTTTTCATCGGGCTAACCGTGGGAGGTTTTCTTGATTTTTCATAGTTAGGTTAGTTTCTTTAAAAGGTTCTGCACTAAGGCTAGTTGATCCCAATGCTTGATCCTGGAGTTACCTTGACTTCTAGGTCGGGTACAAAATTTCAAGACTACAAAGTTGAACATTGATAATTCTAAACTCAGAATTGCGTCGGCTGCTCAGCAATGGTCATAAATAAAAAATCTTTTCTTTATTAAAATGTATAAAGTATTTTGTTAAATCAATGCATTTATTAATATTAATTGATTTCTTTCAAGTACAGAATTTTTTTAATTTTTAGACTGTATTTCCAGTAGCTGACAAAAGTAAGTTCTCAAAATGTATTTTACCTTTTAGAGCCAGGAGTGATATACCTGTATATGTATATTTCGCTATATGTATACAAGTGATAAATTCGGTTATTATCAATACTAATTGGTCAAAAATTATAATAATCCCTTCTTTTGGTCAAAGTGAGAAATAAAAACATGGAAGAATGGTTTTGACCAAACTTCATTGGTTATTATTAATAACAACCGGTTAATGTGATAAATTAGTTTAAAATATTCACTTTTATCCGGCGTATTTTTATTGTTAATATTGACCGATTAGTATCAAACATGCCAAAATTTTCTTGTTTTTTCTGTAAAAATTTCTTGGTGTAAGTTAAGGCTTTAAGAAAATTGAGAGTTGTTTATCGCAAACATTTTTCTGAATTTAAAACAAAATTTAAGAACTTTATGGTTTACCATTTCGATGACTAAGACCAAAATTGGAACAGATAGGAGAAAAGTTTAATCAAACAATGGCAACAATTTAAATTTGTGTTGGAGATACAATTCAAGTTTTTAGACACTTAGAGATTCAAAATACCCGATTTATAAACATCCTGTCTTATTTTATAATTAGATAAAAATGAATCTTTAAAAAATATTTTAAATAAAAAACTAGATGTATGTATTTCCTGTGAGATAAATACCCTTTTAGATTTTGATTGTGTTATTGTGTGCATAATTGTGTATTTGTTTGTGTTGTCTTGATTTAATGCAAAAGTGTGCTTCTGTTAATAATTTTTTGTTAATAGTTTGTAGGTATATATCTCCTATTGCGTTGTTGCGAAATTTTTTTAATCTATAAAAACTAACTTTTTATTAAAAACTTTATTATTTAATCTATTAATTATCGTTTCTATTCACATTTTCCTCCATTGGTGTTTTCAGGGGGAGAGAAGATAGAAAAAATTTATGAAAAATCGCTAATGTTGCAACTTTCCGATAATGCTATATCATTTAACTAAAACATAGTTCGAAACGATTGGCGATCGAAATGCGCTGTTGTTGGCGCATAACAGAATTCTGGAAAAAGTGTGGAACTCAAAACTGCATTAAACATAGTACTTAATTTTAGCATCATGGAAATTTGTAAATATATTTTTGATTAATGTAGATGCATAAGAAAAAAAAATTATGTAAATTGAGAACATCATTTCCATGCATTAGAGCAGGGGAAGAGAAGGAAGGAGAGAGGTTCTTATTCCCAAGAATTGATCCTATTCCCAGATGGAGTATTCGAGTGTTTTAGGTCGCGAGTAGCAAATTTTGGTTTGAATTCTAACGATATAAGTCGTATTTTAAAATTACTAAAGTTGTATTTTTTACATAATAAGTGGTTCAAATAATAGCTTCTTCAAAAATAAACGAAGCTTTTGTATACACTAGATTTATTGATAGCTAATAATAACACATAATTACGTTGTAAACTTCCTTTTTCCCTACAAACAAACAGGGGAACTTTGTCCTTGTGGTAGTAATGGAAGTTTTAAACAGACACGAGTAGTTGGTGGACACAATGCTGCACGAGGATTATTTCCTTATGCTGTAAGTATTGACATTTATTTATTAATTTTTTAAAAAAGATACTTTATAGATTTGCAGGACTCGATTTAATTTTTTTTAAAGAAAACTCAAAATTACATTATTCTGAAACAATTGGGTTTATAGTGCACTAAAAATAGGATACACTAATCTTACTACTCTCTGTCAAACCAAAGAACTCCAATCACTGAGTCTGTGAATGACTACTGTTATGGAAGCAAGGAAAGCGCAATTCAAAAAAAAAAATTTTTAATGATTCACACGCCGATCAGAGTCAAAACATTACCACTTGGATCAGTCTGCGTAGGGACCGAGAGTGTGCGGTATTGGTCCTCGTTAAACTGTTCTACCGTGAAGTGCTCGACTTCGCGTGCAGGTCGTCGGGCTACCGAAGTGGGGGTGCCATCCACTCTGCAGAGGATCAAAATTGAGATGGCTTGTCTTCGGATCATCCTCAGTGATGTTTCCCAGACCGTCGCCAATAGCCCATTGTGCAGCTCCAGTGCGACGTAAATGAACTACAACAACATTTAGTTGAACTGCATCTATGGGTCTTCCATCCATCACAAGTTAGCGTGGGCTAAGTGAGAGTAAAGCGAACCAGTAAAGTTTACTCCAGTAATTTAGGGGAAGAAGGCAAAGGAAGTCATATCGAAAAGCTTTATACCCAACTGACAAAAAAGTGAACTCTTCCTCTAGGTTTTCCGCCAATTTGTTGTGATTGATGCAGTAATTTTTATTCCTTTTATTTTAAATCTCACGTTAATAATAAATTTTCATAAATACTTACTTTAATTGTTCAGGTTTAGTCCTTCTGTGTAAGAAGATCTTAATGAAACATTTATTTACTATAAGGATACTTTTTAATAATGGATATTTTTTTATACCTTTATGGATACTTTTTATTACCTTTATGGATAATATGAGGATATCTTTTAATATCTTTGTTGAACTGTGCGCAAAATAAAAAACAGACCACGCTGAATTACTTTTGATTTTCTAATGAGATCTTAACGTTTTAGGACTCAAATTTAATATTTCGAAGGTGTGATCTCAAATACGCTAATCAATCAGAGCAGATGATAGTTTAAGTTACGAAATCAGGCACAAAAACGTACTTTCTCTAACTAAGCTTGCCCTTTTTTTTTTTTTTNTTTTTTTTTTTTCCTTTTTTTTTTTTTTTTTTTTGTTGATGAATTCGGATTTTTGACTCCTAAAATGTAGGGGTAGGCCGCAATCTGGAAGATATGGTCCCCATATATTGGTCAAGAAAGCGATCCAAAGTTTGGATCCCATAATGTTATTTTTTGCGTATTTCGTCTTATCTCGAGAACTTTTTAAGCAAATAGAAAAGTTTTTGCACACAATTATAAAATTTGTTTATTCGAAGATACATATATATAGATATATATAGAAGATATATTCCATACAACAACAAAAAATTAGAAAATATTTTTTTTTTTTTATTTAATGATACAGGGCTGATTGTGCTCCGGAATAAATCCGGATTTCCGGAATTTTCGCTAACAGTGATCCGGAAGTTTCCGGAAATAGAAGATCCAGACGTTTCAAAAAATCATTGATCACAGAAATTTCCGGAAATCAAATTTTCAAAGGTGAGACTTAAAAACATAGTTTATTTNTTTAAAAAAGAAAGTTGTTATATGGATTTGAATGATTGTTTTGAATTCTTAGAATTTTGAGCATTTGCAATGTACCTAAGTTAGTAGCGAGCGAAGTAAACCATATAAGATTGCGTAGCAATTTTAGAGGGTTGGCGAGCGTTAGCGAGCAGGGGGCGCAGCCCACTAGTACTTTTTAATGTTGAATACTTTTTAATACCTTAATGGATACTATAAGGATTCTTTTTAATATCTTTGTTTAACTGAGCACAAAATAAAAAAACAGACCACGCTGAATTATTTTCGATCTAATGATAGGATCTTCACATTTTAGGACTAAAACTTAATGTTTCAAATGGGTTATCTATTTGGGTATGCTAATTAATTAGTGCTGATGATAGTTTAAGTTAAGAAATCAGACACAAAAACGTACTTTCTCTAAATGAACATACCTTTTTTCGACAAATTCTGATTTCTGACTCCCAAAATGTTGGGGGTAGCCGCAATCTGAAAGTTATGGTTACCATATTATGGTCAAAAAAGCGATCCAAAGTTTTGACCTTACAATGTTAATTTTATTTTTGGCGCATTTCGCCATATCTCGAGAACTTTTTAAGCAAATTGAAAAGTTTTTGCACACAATTATGAAATTCGTTTATCCATAGGTAATTCCACACAAGAAAAATGTAGTAAATATTTATTATTTTTTATTTTATTTAATAATAGTCGAAAAAATTTAGAATTGTAAAGTATACAATTTTTACATCATTCTAAACTATGCAAGTTTAAATGGCAAAATATAAAAGTTGAGCTAAATTTGTTGTATTGTTCCTAAGAAATCGAATCGCTTTTTTAGAATTGGATTTTTGAGGAATTATTCGACCGATTTCGTTCAAATGTTATAGTTTGCTATTTTAAATTATGTAAAAATTGCGTTTTACAATTCGAACTTTTTTCAACAATTATTAAATAAAATAATAAATGTTTACTAAAATTTATTTTTTGCGTGGAATTATTTTCGGATAAAAGAATTTTATAATTGTGTGCAAAAAATTTTCATTTCTCTTGATAAGTTCTCGAGATATGAAGTACGCGAAAAGTAAAATAAACATGGGGTGCAAACTTTGAATCGCTCTCCTGATCAAACTACTGGGACCTTATTTCCCAGATTGCGGCTACCCCATATGTTTTGGGAGTCAGAGATCCTAATCCATCATAAAAAAGGTATGTTTATTCTGTAAAAGTGTGTTTTTATGTCTAATTTTGGAACTTAAAATATAGTTTGTACTAATTAATTAGCTCATTTTAGATCACCTCATCAAACCATCAAGATTGACTCCTAGAACTCAAAGGTCCAATCATTAAATCAAATCTTATTCAAGATGGTCCATTTATTTTTTGCACACTGTACATTACTGTTTNTTTTTTTTTTTTTTTTTTTTTTTTTTTTTTTTTTTTTTTTTTTTTTTTTTTTGTACCAATGCAGAGCTGTTTGGTGGATGATTTTCAAGCCAGAGAGGAAAAAGAAGGTTATCACCAGTTTTGTGGAGCAACTCTGATTACTGATATTCACGCAGTCACTGCCGCCCATTGCTTAAAAAGGTTATTGAATCATATGCATGTCTACGCGAATAATTCTTCTGTCGGGGTCACAAAGTCCCCCAGGTTCCCATAACAAATCAGTACCTCTGGGGCTACTGGATCTGAGATTGATCTTTTCAAGCTTCCCAAAGTCGGAAGAAATTTAGAAAACTTCCGTTAGTTTTATTACCGTTAGTTATATTTTCGTTAGTACCGTTCCGAAAAGTTTTATTACTGCGATTTTCGTTTTAATTTACGCGAAATTTTACCATTCGTAGGATTTTACTGTAATTTATAAATTCTAGCGTGTCGTGAACCTGAAATAAATTTAAAGAAATAATATTTCAGCATAAATAAAATGTAATATTCGCCATGTTTTGCGTGTTATCTCTTAATAAGAAATACACTATAACGACATAAACCCATATTTATTAAAATTAATAGGAGGTAGGGCCTCCTTTGACTGCGATCACAGCTGCAACCCTTCTGGGCATGCTTTCCACTAAATTAGCCATAGTGGCAAGAGGAATTTCCTTCCAAATGTTTAACAGGAAGTTCCATAGTTCATGCTTGCTTTTTGGGAGTGGAGTGTAGGTCCTCAACCGACTGTCCAATTCGTCCCAGAGAGTCCCTATGTCTTGTAGCGACACAAAACACGTGAAACAGTTGATTTTGAGCATTTACGGAGACGGGATATCTCCCTAATTGACACATTGGCAAGATGTAATCCAACTAAAGGCCTGTTTAGACGATCCAATTTCTTGGACAGAGATTGATTGATATTGATGGAAACTTGTTTTGCTTTGAGCTTTGATCGTGTAAACAAACATCCAAGAACTTGGTCCAACTTCTTGGACGATAGTAGAGCATGTTCTACTTTCCATCCAAGTTTTTTCNCTATTGGTTTCCCCCTTTTTTAGTTTCTCTTTATATTAATTTTTATTTTATTATTTGTGTATATATACGTGTATATATATATGAGTAGCTATGAGTTATACCCTTCAAGTTAGTTTTCTTATAGGCATCGTTTAGTTTCTCGAACTAAACGATGGCACTAAGCATCGTTTAGTTTCTCGAACTAAACGTTCCCTAGTGTAGAACACACCATCCATATATAATTCTCTTACGTGGCTCCCAAATTTTGGCGGTATTTCTTTTCCGCCTATGGCAACGTTTGCTTTGCTTTGTTTTGTTTACGTTACTAATTCTCTTACACGGCGAATCGACCAATGATTGCCGCTAAAAATGTCATATGCCAAATCTAGCTGAGGTGGTTCAACATATAGCGCTTTTAAAAACGGAAACTGAAATAACCAGAGAGCATCAGCTGCGGCAATCTCATACTATTAAGTTAGGCAGAAGTGAGTAGTCTTTGTCGATAGATCTCTATTTTAGCATTTTGTCGAAAGCGCTTTTTTTTCAAGAATTTATATATTACGAATTTTTTTGAGGATTTTTGATTTATATCACGAATTATACTATAGCACATTTCTAATAGGTTTTAACGAATTGCATGTCATTTATTTGAATTCAAATTTATTTTATTGACTTAGTATTGGCTAAAAAGATTTAATTTTTTTTAAAAAAAAAGTTTTTAAATGGATTTTAATGATTGTTTTGAATTCTTAGAATTTTGTGCATTTGCAATGTACCTAAGTTAGTAGCGAGCGAAACGAGATTGGTTTGCGAAGCAAACCATATAAGATTGCGTAGCAATTTTCGGGAGTTGGCGAGCGTTAGCGAGCAGGGGGCGCAGCCCACTAGTTTTGAAATATTTGTCTAAAGTTGCGCAGTTAGTTATTTTTTGCGTAGTATCATAGCAAGCCTGCTCAGGTTTCGAATTCATTTTTTATTTGTTTCTTTTTAAATTAAATTGAAAGAACACGCTATATTGAAAACACTACAAGTGTAATAATATTGGATGGGGCGCTTTTTCAAGCTTAGACATAAAAATTAGAAGTAACCCGGAAGTTTTACGATGAATATTAATCCCCAGCGCCATCTGTGCTTAGCTTTACATGGTCAACCTTCCATAAGTGCTTGAATCACAGATATTCTAATTTTCATATTACAAGGATATATTGAAGAAAGCTAATATTTATATAAAGATGCGTTCGTTTATAAAATTCTGAATGCTCTTCATTTTTTTTCCGTTTGCAAACTGTGCATTAGTTTATACCACTGTTAAATCTTTTTTTTTTTTTTTACTTCTAATGCAGCAGGCGGTATAGACGTTATCCTAACTCAGTACAGAGATCAAGAGAAAATAAAAATACAAATACAGAAGGAGATGAAATATACAAAATTCAAAAACAAAACATCAAACACAAAAATTAAATCAAGAACTTAAATTGAACAAAAGTTCTCTGGCCTCCTAGTATCGGGAGTAGATGCAGTTCTTTGTGAGAACTGAACAGTTGAGAAGATGTTCAGCCATCNGTTCATAATTTTCAGAAATTACTAAAAGAAATTCGAGTATGTAATAAAGCACTATTACTTCCCTAATTTAGACAGCTAGACAATTTTGACTTTTTATTTCGACAACATTGTTTAGTTAAATTTTGTTTTTATTTTTTAAGTTTAAGAATATAATTTTTTTTATAATAAGAGGTAAAATATTTTATTTTTATTAAAAAGTAGGAATAAATCAAGGCAGAAAATACTACTCATACTGTAACAGCTACCTAAATAATAACCATATAAATGTGAATATTCCATAGAAAACCAATGAATTTAACTAAAAAATGACTTACCAACAAATAGGGAATTAAACCAGTATATAAACACGCTAAAAATTTATTGATTTATACTGTAATATCCAAACGACGGGGTTTTTTTTGCAAGTTCGTTTAAAATGTCTTCGACAGCTGGGGTAAAGTTTCTATGAATGCTTAAGAGCGCCAATCCATTCATTCTATTATTTCCCGTTGAGTTGCGTAAATAAGTCTTCAAACGGCGCAAAGTCGAAAAGGATCTTTCGTTTGCACTCGTTGAAACAGGTAGAACGACCAATATTTCTAGGAGTTTGAAAATTTAACAC